GCTAGCTTGGAACACACTGTGTAGACCAGGCTAACCTTAAACTCAGAAATCTTCCTCTGCATCCCAAGTGCTGGGATTAAATGTGTGTGCCACCACACCTGGCAATTATTTATTTTAATGAATTGAGACAGGATCTTATTGTGTGGCCCTGACTGTCTTGGAACTTGCTTTGTAAACCATGCTGGCTAACTTTGCCTCTGTCTCCTGTGTGCTGGATGCAGTGATTTTTTTTTTATTTTTATTTATTTATTTATTTGTTTGTTTTGTTTTTTGAGACAGGTTTTCTCTGTGTAGCTTTGGCGCCTTTCCTGGAACTCACTCTGTAGCCCAGGCTGGCCTCCAACTCACAGAGAAATGCCTGGCTCTGCTGGGACTAAAGGCACGCGCCGCCAACCACCCCCGGCAAATGCAGTGAATTTTAGAAGAAAAACTGGATTATACTGAACTGGAGAGATAGCTCAGTAGTCAAGAACTTGAAGACCCAATTTCAATCCCCAGCTCCAATGTATAGGTGCTCACAACCACCTGTAACTCCAGCTCCGCAGGATGTGTGTGACTTTTGCAGGCATCTGGACTCATGTACACATATCTCACATACATAGAGACACATAATTATAAAATAATCAAAATAAAAACAAATAGATCATATTATTCATTATTTTCTGAAGTGGTGTGTGTGTGTGTGTGTGTGTGTGTGTGTGTGTGTGTGTGTCTGTGTGGTGTGTGTGTGCTGGAAATTGAACTCAAGGCCTTGCACACGCTAGGCAAGCGATCTTCCACTGAACTACATCCTAGCTGTGACTTGCTTTTTTTATTTTGGCCAGGAGTTGGTGGCGGACACCTTTAATCCCAGCACTCAGGAGGCAGAGCCAGGCAGATCTCTGTGAGTTCGAGGCCAACCTGGTCTACAGAGTGAGATCCAGGACAGGCACCAAAACTACACAGAGAAACCCTGTCTCAAAAAAAAAAAATTATTTTTTGAGCACTAATTGGTGTTTTGTCTGCATGTATGTCTGTGTGAGGGATGTCAGATCCCTTGGAACTGGAGTTACAGACAGTTGTAAACTGCCATGTGGGTGCTGAGAGTTGAACCTGGGTCCTCTGGAAGAACAGCTAGTGTTCTTAACCACTGAGCCATGTCTCCAGCCACTGCATGCCCTTTTTTGTTCATTTGTTTTTGTTTTTCAAGACTGGATCTCATGTAGCCTAGGCTGGCTCTGAATTCACTATTTATAAAGGATAGCCTTGAACTTCTGATCCTTCTGTCTCTACAAGTGCTGAGATTGTGGACATTTGCTGGCATTTCCCATTTTAGTGGTGCTGGGGATTGAATCCAGGCTTTGTGCATACTAAGCTCAATTGAGCTACATCACCAACCTATTAGCATGCTTTTCATAACTTTATTTATAGTTCTGAGGTTCAAACCAGTACCTGGCACTCTAAACAGATATGCCCTGCCACTGAGATGCATTCTGAGTCCCAACATGTGCTTTTTTTTTTTTTTTTTTTTTTTGGTTTTTTGAGACAGGGTTTCTCTGTGTAGCTTTGCGCCTTTCCTGGAACTCACTTGGTAGTCCAGGCTGGCCTCGAACTCACAGAGATCCGCCTGGCTCTGCCTCCCGAGTGCTGGGATTAAAGGCGTGCGCCACCACCGCCCGGCCCCAACATGTGCTTTTTATGAGGCTTGGTACCACACCTTTAATCCTAGCACTGGAGGTGGTGTCATAGAGGCAAAAGGATCTCTGTGAGTTCAAGGCCAGCCAGGGATATACAGTGAGACCCAATCTCAATAATAATAATAATTAATAAAATAATAAAAAACCCAACCAACAAACAAACAAAAACCAAAAACATTTTCAAGGACTGTAATGCACTGTCAGGGCTACCAAGGCTTGTTTCTCAAGGTTGGCAGAATCCTGGAGAGGTAATAAGGCATAGTGTTACCACAAATTGAGCATTTCTAATCTGAAGCTATGAAGTACAAAATAAGCAAAAACATAATATGATAAGTGGTAAATTACACACCTGACCTTATGTAATAGGTCACAGTTAAAATGGAGATTCCGGGTTGAGGATTTAGCTCAGTGGTAGAGCACTTGCCTAGCAAGCGCAAGGCCCTGAGTTCGATCCTCAGCTCTAAAATAAAATAAAATAAAATAAAATAGAGATTCAGGACCTGGAGACACGGCTTCAGTTACTAGCACCTAAAAGTTGGCTCACAACCTCCTGTAATGTTAGTTTCATGTGAATCAACCCGACTCCTACAGTCTCCTTGGGTACCAGGCATTCATGTGGTACACATACACACATACAAGCAGACATTCATATCCATAAAATAAATCTTTAAAAACACAGATGCACATGCTTTTAATCCTAGCATTTGGGAGGCAGAGGCATAAGAATCTCTGTGAGTTCGAGGCCAGCCTGGTCTACAGAGTGAGTTCCAGGACAGCCAAGACTGTTAATGCAGAGAAACCTTGTCTCGAAACACAAGACAAAACAACAACAAAAAAACCTCACATTGTTTTTTTTTGTTGTTTTGTTTTGAAATGGACATATAGCTTAGTGGTACAGGGTTTGTCTAGCACGAGCAATCGAGCAATGCTTTAGGTTTAACCCATAGCATGGCAGATAAATAAATATATAAATTCTGTAATTAAACTAAGTGTGATGCTCCAGGCCTACAATCCCAGAAGCATCAGGACTTTAAGCTCAGCTTCAGTAATACAGCAACTTCTAGGATGGCCTAGGTACATGAGACCTTGTCTTAAAACAACAAATAAGCCGGGTGGCGGTGGCACACGCCTTTGATCCCAGCACTTGGGAAGCAGAGCCAGGCAGATCTCTGTGAGTTGGGGGCCAGCCAGGTCTACAGAGCGAGATCCAAAACAGGCACCAAAACTACACAGAGAAACCCTGTCTCAAAAAAACCAAAAAAAAAAACACCCACCAAAAACCCAAAACAAAACAAAAAAACAACAAAGAAATCTGTGTATTTAGATTGGGTCCTATCCCTGAGACATAATATATGTATGTATATTTAGGTATGTATATGAATGTGTTTATGTATGTACATGTGTATATGTATATGCTATACACACACAAAATTTCTAAAATCTGAAATCCAAAGCACTTCCAAAGTATTTACCATTATAGGATGTAACTCTAAGTATTTCATTAAATACATTTGACTCAACTGGTACCCTGGTTCCCTCCTTCCCCTTTAAAGGTATTTATTTAATGTGTATGTGTGTTCCAGAATGTATACATATTGTTGATTATTTTTTGCTCTTTTGGGGGCCCACCACCCAGGTCCCAAATAAATCACACATGGAGGCCTACTCTTAATTATAAATGCCCAGCCTTAACTTGGCTTGTTTCTAGCCAGCTTTTCATAACTTTAAGTTATCCCTGTCTGCCTTTTGCCGCTGGGCTTTTACCTTTCTCTTAGTTCTGTATATCTTACTTTCATTCTTATTCCATGGTTGGCTGGGTGGCTGGGTGGCTGGGTGGCTGGGTGGCTGGGTGGCTGGCCCCTAGTGTCCTCCTCTCCTTGTTCTCTTGCTCTTTCTTCTTTTTTCTTCCTGCCTCGCCATTGCCATTCAGCTCTTTATTAGAGCATCAGGTGTTTCACACAGGCACAGTAGCACAGCCTCACAGAGTTAAACAAATGCAACATAAACAAAAGTAACACACCTTAAAATAATATTCTACAACATATACATGCATACACCATGTGTTCAGGAGCCCAAGGAGGTCAGAAGAGGCATCAATTCCCCGGAACTAGGATTACAGATGGTTACAGAGGAACTGGGTCTTCTGTAAGAACAGAGAATGCTCCTAACCACTGAACCGTCTCCTCCTAACCACTGAGCCTCCTAACCACTGAGCCGTCTCTCCAGTTCCTTTACCCCCCACCCCCACCTCTTTTACTTTTGTTTTGTTTGTTTTTCCAGTTTCCTCTGTGTAGCTTTGGACCTGTCCTGGAACTCGATCTGTAGCCCAGGCTGACCTTGAACTCACAGAGATCCACCTGCCTCTGCCTCCAGAGTGCTGGGACTAAAGGCGTGCGCCACTGCCTGGTCTTTGCTTTCTTTCTTTCTTTTTTTTTTTTTTTTTTTTGAGGTAGGGCTATCTCAGTATCTCTCTATGTAGCTCTCAATAGCCTGAACTTCATCATGTAGACCCTGGCCTCAAATTCACAGAGAGTAATGGGATTATAGGTACCCAGTTTGTACCCATTTTTACAGAGACTGAACAAATTAAGCTAGGACTAGAATCTGGCTCCACTGCCCAGTCTTAAGTTCAAAGCTCTTTCCTCATTGGGCGGTGGTGGCGCATGCCTTTAATCCCAGCACTCGGGAGGCAGAGCCAGGTGGATCTCTGTGAGTTCGAGGCCAACCTGGTCTACAGAGCGAGATCCAGGACAGGCACCAAAACTACACAGGGAAACCCTGTCTCGAAAAACAACTCTTTCCTCTTTATATGCTTAGGATTCAGATGCAGGATTAAACTATATGACTTAGGGCTGGTGAGATGGCTCAGAAGTTAAGGATTCCTGCCGCCAAGCCTGATGACCTGAGTTCAATCCTCAGAACCTACATGGTTGAGAGAGAGAACGGACTTCGATAAGTTGATAGTTGTTCTCTGACCTCCACAGGCACACCCACATCTTCCTATGAATACATACACAGTAAGTAAATCACGTGAGTTACGTTTATTTCAGGAACATTTTGTTATGTGTGGTTTTTTTAAATTAATTAATTTTTTTTTTTTTTTTTTTTTTTTTTTTTTTTTTTGGTTTTTCGAGACAGGGTTTCTCTGTGTAGCTTTGCGCCTTTTCCTGGAACTCACTTGGTAGACCAGGCTGGCCTCGAACTCACAGAGATCCGCCTGGCTCTGTCTCCCGAGTGCTGGGATTAAAGGCGTGCGCCACCACCGCCCGGCAAATTAATTACTTTTTTTACTTTTTATGTGCAGTGGTGTTTTGCCATAAATGTCAAGTCTGCTGGAACTGGAATTATAGACAGTTGTGAGCTGTCCTGTGTGTGTTGGGAATTGAACCCGGGTTCTCTGGAAGAGCTCTTAACCACTGAGCCATCTCTCCAGCCCTGCTGTGTTTTTAGAGACAAGGTCTCTCTAGGTAGTCCTAGCTGAACTGGTACTTGCTAATGTAGACCACACTGCCTCCAGAGTGCTAGGCTTAAAGGCATGTGCCACTATACGCAGCTTGTTTTGTTTTGAGACAGGGCTTCATGTAGCACAGGCTGGCCTTGAACGTGATGTGTAAGGAAAGATGACCTTGAACTCCTGATTCTCTTATCTCCATCTCACAAGTGTTGGATCACATGTTACAGGTTTGCACCGTGCAGCAGCTTTCAGTAAAGAATATGCAGAAAAGTATGATGCTAAAATGTAGGAGGAACTTAGTACTAAGACAATTGATGTCTTCATTGGTCACCACTTTCTTCTGCTTTACCGTACAAGGAATATTGGTAAATGTCTATAATCATTATTGATTAATTGACTGTGGTACTGGTTAATTGGAACCTAGAGCTCTGTGTATGCTAGGCGTCTACTTTAATCACTGAGCTACAATCCCAACCCCCTTTTCAACTTTTATTCATTTATTTTTAAAGACCTGTTTCTTTTTCATGAGTTATTTGCCTGCATGTACCTTTGTGGACTGTATATGCCTGGTGCCAGAAGGGGTCAGAAGAGGAGCTCCATTCCCATCTCAACCCTGGAACTGGAGTTACAGGTCCTTTGTGAGCCACCATGTGGGTGCTGGGACCCAAACCTGGGTCCTCTGCAAGAGCAGCAAGTGCTCTTAACTGTTGAGCCATCCCTCCAGTTCTCTTACTTTTTATTTTGAAATCGTCTAAATGAAGTTGCTCATGCTGATGACCTTGAACTCACTCTGTAGTTCAGGCAGGCTTTGAACTTAAGATCCTCCTGCCTCAGGCTCACCAGTATCTGGGACTATAGGTGTGTGTTAACAGCCCACCTTGTAACGAACCTGTTTAAAAGAACTATGTTGTTCTTTTTAAAAAATAATTTTATCCCTGGATAATGGTAGCACACACCTTTAATCCCAGCACTCAGGAAGTAGAGGCAGGTGGATCTCTGTGAGTCTGAGGCCAGCCTGGTCTACAGAGCTAGCTCCAGGACAACCAGGGCTACACAGAGAAACCTTGTCTTGACAAAGAGAAAAAAAGTAAGAATGAATGCTTTTGTCTCAAGTCAGGAGGTTAAGGAAGAAGCTGGCCATCTTGGAAATTCAGCGTCTTTATTACCTAGTCATGGCCCCTCTCCTTATCTGTCTGCCTGCCAGGGAGTCTAACTCCTGGTCTCTCACATTCGCTACCAAGCCAAGGGTGGTGCCAAACATCATTCCCACTAGAGTGTAAAGAATCCTTACTAGAGGGGCTGGAGAGATGGCTCAGAGGTTAAGAGCACTGGCTGCTCTTCCAGATGTCCTGAGTTCAATTCCCAGCAACCACATGGTGGCTCACAAACATCTCTGTAATGAGATCTGGTGCCCTCTTCTGGCGTGCAGTCATACACGGAGGCAGAGCACTGTATACATAAAAAGTCCTCACTAGAGAGTCTGAGACGAGAGAATTGCTTGGAATTCTGCCTGAGCAATATAAAGGTGGGAGCATCTTTAATCCCAGCACTTGCAAGGCAGAGGCCAGCCCCGTCTACGGAGCAAGTTCCTGGACAGCCAGGACCACGAAGTGAGAACCAGTCTTTAAAAAATATATCTATCCATCGAAGGCTACTACACCCTTTTCCTCCCTAGTAACACAAGCCATGAGGGTTTACTAGTTATTTTAATAGTCTTGACATTGAAAATCCGGCCTGAGCTCGGGAGATAAAGGAAAGGAGGAGGTAGGGGTTGGCCATCCCAAAAGCAAAGCGACTGTAGTCGACTCAGCCCTTAGAGAGGAGGGGAAAAAAGGAACTACTGGATTGCCTTCCGGTCCAGAACGGAACCCCGCCCCGCCAGGTTTCACGTGACCGGCAGCGCGGCGGATAAACTACAACTCCCAGAGAGCCACGCGGCCGGCCGGCGTTACGCTTTCTCGCTGATTGGTCACTAGGGATATTTGAAAGGAGGAGCTGGCGGGGAAAGCGAAGACTACCTTTCGGATATTTGGTGGATCCTCCGACTGGAGGTTAGTCCTAGACGCGTAAAGAACGGCGACTTTGGGTGAAGTAAGGCTCGAAGGGTCTCGTGAGAGCGTGCTCAAGCCGAGGTGAATGACGTTCCCGTTTCTGACCTCAGGGGAAACAGGGCGGCTCTGCGGAGGCTCGGGGACCCCTCCAAAGGCTTGGTCGGCGCCCGGGGGCCTGCGGAGACCTCTGGGGTGCCTCGGTGGGAACAGGAGGACAAGGGGCGGCCTGGAGGAAGAAAGCGTGTACACGGTAGTTCACGGCGGGAGCCCAGCGTCTGGGCATGGTCCCCACCCACCCCATAGGATTTGTGGTGGGGTTCTTTTCCTGCTTCGATCCCTTGAACACTGCTACAACCCTCAACCCCCTCTTTCCTCCACTTATTTCCATGACAAATCTTCGCAGCCTTCTACAGTTCATTTCCTTTTCTCTAGCCTTTGCCATGAGGAACTTCAAAGGCGTCAACTTCGCGACTCTGCTATGCAGCAAGAAGGAGGCCCAGAAGCTGCTGCCTGACTTGAAGGTAGGGGTGCTTTTTGGCTCAGGACACACCTCGTTTTCTGAGACCATCTGTCTTTTCTTCTCCATTTTAACTTTTTTAATTTTCCGTAGTGCGGATTGAACCCAGGAGCTCATGCATGCAGGATAGTTCATCACTGAACTATATGTTTTCACTTTAAAAAAAATTTTTTTTTAAAGTTTTGAGACAGGGTCTCTCTACATAGCCTTGGCTGTCCTTGGAACTCAGAGAGATCCGCCTGCTCTGCCTCCCAAGTGCTGGGGTTAAAGGCGTGCGCCACCACCGCCCGGCTTGTTTTCACTATTTTTAATTTGAGGTAGTGTCTCACTAAATTGCCCCAGCTGGCCTTGAACCCACTCAAGCCCAGGAAGGTCTTGAACTTTCAACCTTTTTGCCTTGACACAAGTCTGTGCCACCAAGCCTGACTTGTGTTTTGCCTTAATATGGAGGGGGGGGAGGTGCAGGAGTCCTTGTCTGTGTGAACCTATTTCTAGTTCCTTTTCTTTCTCTACTTCTTTTTCTGTTCACCCTGCTTATCTCTTCCTAGGAGTTCCTGTCCAGATCCCGAACTGATTTTCCCAGCGGCCGCTGTGATGCTGAAAGAAGACAGATCTGTGACACCATCCTGAGGGCTTGCAACCAGCAGCTGACTGCCAAGCTCGATTGCCCTGGGCATCTGAGGAGTCTGCTGGACCTGGTGGAGCTGGCCTGTGATGGCTATTTGTCGTCTACCCCACAGCGCCCTCCCCTCTATCTGGAACGCATTCTTTTCATCTTACTTCGGAATGGTTTGGCTCAGGGAAGCCCAGACTCTGTGCTCTGCCTTGCCCAGCCTCTCCATGCCTGCTTGGTACAGAGCTCTCGAGAGGCTGCCCCCCAGGACTATGAGGCCGTGGCTCGGGGCAGTTTCTCTCTCCTTTGGAAGGGGGCAGAAGCTCTGTCAGAGCGGCGAGCGGCATTCTCCACCCGGCTGAAGGCCTTGAGTTTCTTAGCACTCTTGGAGGACGACAGCGTCCCCTGTGAGGTTCCCCACTTTGCCTCTCCAACAGCCTGTCGGGTGGTGGCTGCCTATCAGCTGTTCGATGCTAGTGGACAAGGTCTAGATGAAGCAGACGCTGACTTCCTGTATGACCTGCTCTCTAGGCATGTGATCAGAGTCTTAGTAGGTGAAGGGGGTAGCCCTCCTGGGCCTCTTTCTCCCCAGAGGGCCCTCTGCCTCTTGGAACTCACCTTGGAACACTGTCGTCGCCTCTGCTGGAGCCGCCACCACCGCAAGGCCACCAGCGCGGTGGAGGAGGCTCGTGGTCACCTCGAGAAGAGCGGTGTGGCCCCTAGCCTCCAGTTATGCCAGGTGGGGGTTGAGCTGCTCGAGGCCGCGGAAAAAAGACCAGGGGCAGTGGCCCAGCTTCTGACGAAGGCATCGGCTCTTCTGAGCAGCAGTCTGGAGGCACCACTGCCCCCGCTTCGGGCACTGTATGACAGCTGCCAGTTCTTCCTTGCCGGCCTGGAGAGAGGCAGCAAGAGGCACTACGGGCTCGATGCCATATTGAACCTCTTTGCTTTTCTTGGAGGGTACTGCTCCCTTGTCCGGCAGCTTCGAGATGTGAGTTAAGGACCTAGAGGTAGGGTGGGTGGGGATGTGGTTCTGTGAAGAATTACCGGCTTCCTTGGTAAGGTGGTCTCCAGGCTGTGCCTGGTAAGCATCTTGTTGTACCTCGAGGGGGCAGTGACTTTCAGGGACTCTAGACAGCACTCAGCACCCTTCCTTCTTCAGGTCTGTGATGTTCCCTCCAAGCAGCAGCAGTCTTTGCTTCAGATGTACTTCCAGGGTCTTCACCTCTTCACCGGGATGGTTTACGACTTTGCTCAAGGCTGTCAGGTACCATCTGGGAATCAAGAAATATGGGTCGTCTTAGGGGTTGCTTCAGAAGAGTTTTGGGGTTGCTTTGGTTTTGGGCGTGGGGCAGGGTGGAAGTCTCAGTGGACCCTGCATGACTCTTCCCACCCTCCCACCTTCAGGCAGCAGAGCTGGCCCAGCTAGTGGAGAGTTGCAGGTGTACTGTTGTCTGGATGCTGGAGGCCCTGGAGGGCCTGTCGGGCAGAGAGCTGACTGACTGTCTGGGGATGACCGGTTAGTGCCTTGCAACTGAGATGCAGTTGTGGGGGAGGGCTGTCACATGGTAGGCTGGCCAGTGGTACTTGCTGTGTATTCTGACCACTGACCACCTAGTGCCTTAGGTGTAAGGAGAAATGTGTATAAAGGATCAGTTACTCTGGTTAATGTCAGGACAGATGTGATAAGGCTTATGACAGAGGGCTCTGATTTTTTTCTTCTTATATTTTGCAGTTTGATTTGATATTTGTTTTATAAAAAATACTTGTGCCTAATATGCAACATTATAGCCTTTATTCATTCATTCATTCATTCATTCATTCATTCATTTACTTATTTATTTGGTTTTCCGAGACAGGGTTTCTCTGTATAGTTTTGGTGCCTGTCCTGGAACTCACTTGGTAGTCCAGGCTGGCCTCGAACTCACAAAGATCCGCCTGGCTCTGCCTCCCGAGTGCTGGGATTAAAGGCGTGCGCCACCACCGCCCGGCTAACTTTTTTTTTTTTAAAGGACTTATTTTACCTGTGTATGTGAGTACCTGCACATCTGTATGTGCATCTGGTGTGTGTCTGGTGCCCATAGAGGTCAGAAGAGGATTCAGATCCTGTGGAACTGGAGTTAGTCAGTTGTGAGCTTCCGTGTGGGAGCTGGAAATCAGACCTGAACCCTCTGCAAGAATAACAGGTGCTCTTAAAACACTGAACCAGGCCGGGCGGTGGTGGCACATGCCTTTAATCCCAGCACTGGGAGGCAGAGCCAGTTGGATCTTTCTGAGTTCAAGGCCAGCCTGGTCTACAGAGTGAGCTCCAGGACAGACACCAAAACTACACACTGGTATGATGGCACATGCCTTTAATCCCAGTTCTGTGAGTTCAAAGCCAGCCTAACATAATAAGACCCTGTTTTTGTTTTTTTTTAAATAAAGCCAAGTAATGGCTAGCCTGGTCTACATAGCAAGTCCCAAGCCAGTCAGGGATACATAGTGAGACCCTGTCAATAAATAAACTAATAAATACCAGGTAAAATATCCACGTGCATGCCGGGCGGTGGTGGCGCACGCCTTTAATCCCAGCACTCGGGAGGCAGAGCCAGGCGGATCTCTGTGAGTTCGAGGCCAGCCTGGGCTACCAAGTCAGTTCCAGGAAAGGCGCAAAGCTACACAGAGAAACCCTGTCTCGAAAAAAAAAAAAAAAAAAATATCCATGTGCTTCAAAATTAAAATTGTTCGAAATATTACATAAAAGTCTGGTTTGGTGACTCTTACTTGTGGTTCAGACATTGGGGAAGCTGAAGAAGGATCACAAGTTTGAGGACAGCCTGGGCTATATAGTGAGTTCGAAGTGGAGGTCAACCCGGGTTATATAGCAAGACCTCTCAGAAGAAGAAAGAAATAGACTGAGGATGTAGCTCAGTGGTAGAGCATTGTCTGATGTGTATAAGGCCCTGTAATTTCTAGTATTAGAAGGAAAAAAAAAAAGGTCATGGCATAAAAGGTCCCTCTTCCATTCTCCATCACGCAAGCTTCCCTTTCCTGAGGCAATTACTGTATTTATTTATTTATTTGAGACAGGGTTTCAGTATGTATACCAGGTTGGCCTCAAACTTAACAGAGATCCATCTGCCCCTGCTTTCTGAATGCTGGGATTAAAGACATACACCACCACACCTGGCTACAACTGTCTATTTTGAGAAACTGCATTAGGTTGAGACTATAGACCAGTGGTAGGACGTTTGCCTAGCAGGTGCAATACCCTGAGTTTGGCCTTAGAACTGCCTCCCTCCCCTCCAGCTCCATAAATAACTTACTGAGATTTATTCATTCAACAAAACTGCCAAGCAATATTAGATATATCCCTGTTCCCTGGAACCACATTCTCGTTTAGGGGAAAAGGTACCTGAATAAATGAATTATTAACATGTTAAGTGAGAAGAAGGGGGCTTATGGTTAAGGACACCGCTCTTCCAGAGGACCCAAGTTCAACTCCCAGCATACATATGGCAGCTAACAAGCTAACAACCATCTGTAATTCCAGTTCAAAGGGACCTGACTCGTTCTTCTGGCATACACATGGTACACATGGAAGCAGGCAAAACATTCATACACATAACAATCAAAATCTAAAAAATATATTTTTAAGCAGTAAGAGCGGAATGTGTGATCATTTTAAGCAGTAAGAGCACACGTATGATCACCCTAGCTCTAGTGAGGCTGAGCGAGGAGGATTGCCGTGAATGCAGTGTCAGCCTGGGCTATAGAGTGAGACCCTGTCTCAAAAATCAAAAGTGGGGATGGAGAGATATCTCAGCCAGTAAAGGCATTTGCTGCCAAGGCTGATGACCTGAGTTTGATCCCTGGAATCCACATGATAGAAAGTGAACCAATTCCTTCAGATTGTCCTGTGACCTTCACACATGCACTGTGGCATATGAGCACATACACGCAAAAGAAATACAGGTTTAAAAGAAGTGATGAAAAATTTGAGACACGGAGTAGAATAGGATTAGAAAGGGAAGTCCATGGGCTGGAGAGATGGCTCAGTGGTTAAGAGCATTGGCTGGAGCTGGGCAGTGGTGGTGCACTTTAACCACAGCACTCAGGAGGCAGAGGCAGGCAGATCTCTGAGTTTGAGGCCAGCTTCGTCTACAGAGTGAGTTCCAGGACACCCAGAGTTATGTGGAAAAGTACTATCTTAAAAAAACAAACAAACAAACAATAAATCTTTTAAACATGAAAAAAAGAAAAATCCAGGAAGGGTAAGGAGTGCAAGCACCATTTGAATGAGGTGTTTAAGGTCTGCCTCGTGGGTGTGTGACTTGAGCAAAGACTTGAAGATGTTCGCCATGATGGTGCCTAGGAAAGAACATCTCGGCACGGCCAACAACCAGCACCAAGTCTTGAGGGCTCGAGAGGGTCTGATGTGTTCAAGGACTACAAAGCCAGGTGGCATGGCTCTAGTGGCCGGAGGGAAGGAGGGGGAGGCAGGACAGGTCAAGGCTCAGCCCTCACCGGAGCGTGGGGGGGCTGCTGTGTGAGTTTTCTCAGGGATGGTGGGCAGCAGCTGATGGTCTAGACTCAGCTTTCTCATCCAGAAGCTGACGAGCTGACCCCAGGCTGAGCTTCTCAGCCCGACAGGGAAATGGAGCTGCTGTGACGGTCAGTTGTCTCTTCTCTCCCTGCAGCCTCCTACAGCAGCAACTTGGCCTTCAGCTTCTTCAATCACAAGCTCTATGACGAGGCCTGTGCCGTCTCGGAGCCGGTCTGTCAGCACTTGGGCTTGGCAAAGTCAGGTGCTTGTCCTGAGGTGCCTCCCGAGAAGGTAGGAGGGAGAGGGGGTGTTATGTTGGTGGGGGCCTTGAGTAATGTGAAAGGGCCAGACTGCAGCTCTGCCGTTCAGTGGGGTGCTCACCAGTGCCTAGGGAGTGTTCCCCACACCCTTGCCGTGCTGTCACTTTTCCTCCCTCCCTCCCTCCCTTCCTTTGTTTTTTGGATACAGGGTCTCGTTGTGTAGCTCCAACTGTCCTGGAATTTTCTCTGTAGGCCAGGCTGGCCTCAAACTTATAGAGACCTACCTGCCTCCACCTCAAAAGCGCTGGGTTAAAGGCGTGTGCCACCACACCTGGCAGTGTTTTTCTTTAAAATGGCTGTTTTTACTTTTGGCTTCCTCCTAGCTAGTTCCAATCCTAGTTTCACATTAGAATCACCTGAGTGAACTTCAGAGCCATTCTGTTCTAATGCTTGCCTCAAGTTAATGACATCAGATTCTTGTCCTAGAGCTCAAGCATCTACATATTTTAAAAGTTTCCCCCACCCCCAGGGTGGTCCTCTGCACAACCAGAGTGAAAACCAATGTCTTATGGAGGATGCGTTGAAAGGGTGGGTTGGCTGGGTCGGGTAGTGCAGGGCCTTGAGTTATCTCAACTAAGGGATGAGAACTGAAGGAATAAGTGGAGCCGTGGCGTCAGGTTGGCATTTGGATGCTTTGCCATCATTCGATGTGGCAAACAGTGCAGGGTAAGAGCCTGGGTAGTCGGGCCACTGTGGTAGCCTGGGCAGGAAAGGGTGGGCTCGAAAGACTGGACGGTGCAAGAAATCAAGGCTTCATCTGAGGTTCACCAGTGGCTGGAGGCAGGTAGAAGGAAGGAAAACATACGAGTGGTCCTGCATTTCTGTCAGGACCAGACAGTGCCATTTGCTGAGGAAAGGGTCACAGGAGGTGGAACAGGTCTTGACGCTGTAGACATTGACCATGAAGGGCCCCTGAAGTGGAGAGTGCTAGGATGCTTAGTTATTGGGGCGTAGAGAGGCAGGGGGACCACCTGCTGCCTGTCTTCCTGTGGTGAATGTGTGCTCTGCTGTGCTCTACACTCTCATTGGCTCCATGCTCCAGCTCTAACCTGTCTCTGGTCAGCTGCATAGGTGCTTCCGGCTGCATGTGGAGAGTTTGAAGAAACTGGGTAAACAGGCCCAGGGCTGCGAGATGGTGACCTTATGGCTGGCGGCTCTACGACCTTACAGCTTTGAACACATGACCGAGCCAGTCACTTTCTGGGTCCGGGTCAAAATGGATGCAGCCAGAGCAGGAGACAAAGATCTCCAGCTGAAGTGAGTTGGAGGGGAGGACAGTCATATCTGCCCGTGGATTGGGCATGTTTCTTGATTGTTTTTTTTTTTAGACAAGGTCTCTATAGTCCTGGAACTTGCTATGTAGGCCAGGCTGGCCTTGAATTCTCAGAGATCCTTCCCGCCTCTGCCTTCCTAGTGCTGGGATTAAAGGCGTGTGCCACCATGCCCAGCCTCCTCAGTCCTTACTTTTGAGAAAGGCAGTGATTCATTCACCATCAGTTACACATTGAGTGCTTACTGCATGCCAGCCCCTAGGGGCATCGGGGTAAGAAGCAATGTTCTTGTTTTGTTCAGTTTATACTCTAGTTGGAGAAATACAACCAAGTACATTGTATGTATATTTCATGAAGACAAACCTTGACCTGTTAAAAGAGGGATGAACTTTAGGTGGGTTATTTAGGCCGGTCTTTTTTGGAGATGTGATGTATGTAAGACCTGAAGATGTAGAGGAATCCATCATCAAATGCCTTGGAATAGAAGGCACTGGGGTGGAAACAAGCTTGGGAATGGGAAGTGGAGGAAAGATAGGATAGGCATGGCATGCCAAATGAGGCAGTCTAGGTGGGCAGGAGCCAGGCCACACGTGGTTTTTCACAAGTCCTGGGTACAGGTTTGGATATGATCCCTCAAGCAGCCCTCTACGTTAGAGGAGCCATGTAACCTGCCTAAGAGTTTTAGAGGCACAACTAGTAGCAGAGCAAATGCCAAACTAAGGCCGGGCTCCCTAGCAAGGATGCAGAGACCTGTCTTCAAGGTCTTTACCCAGGTGCTGATCTGCCCTTCAGGACTTTGCGAGACAGCTTGAGTTGTTGGGACCCAGAGACACAGGTTCTGCTGCTGAGGGAGGAGCTGCGAGCCTACAAGGCAGTGCGGGCTGACACTGGGCAGGAACGCTTTAACGTCATCTGTGACCTGCTGGAGCTCAGCCCTGAAGAGACGGCCTCGGGAGCCTGGGCCCGAGCTACCCACCTGGTGGAACTGGCGCAGGTGCTGTGCTACCACAACTTTGCCCAGCAGACCGACTGGTGAGGAGGGACAACTAGGGAGACCTCTTTTGCTCCTTGCCCTAATATTACTGTTATGGGGGGTCAGTTTCCTGCCCTGTTCCTGAACGCTCTCTTCATTTTATGGTCATTGGAACTGAAATGTGTCCAGCTGTCTGTAATGGGCCTTTCCCAGGGTGCTGTGACTGGTACTGATAGTGGGCCCCACTTAAGTGCATCTGTCTCTACAGCTCTGCCTTGGATGCTATCCAGGAAGCCCTGCAGCTTCTGGAGTCTGTGAGGCCTGAGGCACAGGAGCAGGATTGCCTTCTGGACGATAAAGCACAGGCCTTGTTATGGCTCTACATCTGTACCTTGGAGGCCAAAATTCAGGAAGTAAGTAGAGCTGAGCTTGTGCTACTGGGCATGGGTCAGCGTTTTTTCCTGGGCTGCCCCCACGGAGCAACTGGTTTTTGTTTCAGCCTCTCTTCTTTCCCAACCAGGGTATTGAACGGGATCGGAGAGCCCAGGCCCCTACTAACATGGAGGAGTTTGAAGTCAATGACCTGAACTATGAAGATAAACTTCAAGAAGATCGTTTTCTGTACAGTAACATTGCCTTCAACCTGGCTGCCGATTCGGGTGAGGGCAGTAAACACGGTGTGGACAATGGATACCGCTTAGTGTGAAAGGGGCCGGGCTTGTGCTGGGGATGTGGGAGAGTGAGGAAGGGGCTGGCGCAGAGGACAGAGCATGTCATAGAGAAAGCCAAGTATGTCCAGATGGGCAGGTGGGAACAGTGGTCACCTCCTTCTGATTTCCAGCTCAGTCCAAATGCCTGGACCAAGCCCTGGCCCTGTGGAAGGAAGTGCTTACAAAGGAGCCGGGCCCAGCTGTGCGGTGTCTCCAGCAGACTGCAGCTTCCCTGCAGACCCTCGTGGCCCTCTATCAGCTGGTGGCAAAGGTAACGGGACAACGGATGGAGTCCATGTCACAGGGTTAAACTGAGCTCCCTCACCTTGGACCTGTGCACCTGCTGAGAAGCCATGCAGAAAAGAATGGTGTCCCACACTTCTTATGCTAGCACTTGTGAGGCTGAGGCAGGAGGATTATGAGTTACAGACCAGCTTGCATTACATGATAATATCCTCTTTTTATTTTTATTTTATTTTTGGTTTTTTGAGACATGGTTTCTCTGTGTAGTTTTGGTGCCTGTCCTGGATCTCTCTCTGTAGACCAGGCTGGCCTCGAACTCACAGGGATTCGCCTGCCTCTGCCTCCCAAGTGCTGGGATTAGGTGTGTGCCACCACTGCCCTGGCGATATCCTCTTTTTTAAAAAAAAACAAGGGCAAAGTCTATAACTCAGTGGTTATTTGTCCAGCAGTGCAGAGTCCTGGATACAGTCCCCAGTGCCACAAAAAGGTGAGAAACAATAGTTTTACCTTGTGGCATTGTTAACATTCAGCACGATGACGCATGGAAGATGTTTTGTGTAAATGGAGAACTCAAATGTTAGCCTTAAGAATTGAGATGGCGCTTGGCGGCGGCGGTGGTCGTGCATTCCTTTAATCCCAGCACTGGTGTGGGGGGTGGGGGGACAGAGCCAGGCGGATCTCTGTGAGTTCGAGGCCAGCCTGGGTCTACAGAGAGAGATCCAGGACAGGCACCAAAACTACACAGAGAAACCCTGTCTCGGGGAAAAAAAAAAACTTTCTAAAAAAAGAATTACTAGATGTTTTGAGACCTTTATGCTCAAAAAGTACTTAAGTATGATTTTACCTTTTTTCCCCTCCTGGTATCAGGGATTGACTCTGGTATCACTAAGTTATATGCCCAGCCCTTTATTTAAAGAAAGAGGTGTGTGTGTGTGTGTGTGTGTGTGTGTGTGTGTGTGTGTCTGTCTGTCTGTCTGTCTGTCTGCATCAAGCTGGACTTGAACTCACAGAGACAGTCCATTCTATCTCCTGAGTGCTGGGACTAAAGGATGTGACAACCATGCCAGATGCTTTTCTTATCTTTATTTTTTTTTTACTTTATTTTATGTATGAGAGTGCTGGGCATGTATGTCTGTGCCCCATCCCTGGTGTCCACAGGGATCAGGAGAGGGTATGGATCCTCTGGAACTGGAGTTACAGATGGTGAATGAGCTGTGGTATAGGTGTTGGGAAATGAACCTGCGTCTTCTAGAAGAGTAACCAACGCTCTTAGCTGCTGAGCAATCTCTCAAGCAGGCCACCCCCCCCCTTTTTTTGAGAGGTTTCTCTTTGTAGCCCTGCTGTTCTAAAACTCACACCACCTGTAGCTCCAGATCCAAATGATCTGATGTCCTCTTATGGTCTCTGTGGGCGCTGTAGGCACATGGTGCACATATATGCAAGCAAAAACTCATATACATAAAATAGTTTTTAAAAAAATCTTAGAGGATCTCATGTTGTCTTTGCTATCTCTGAATTAGCTCTGTAGTTTAAGCAGGTTTTGAACTTCCTGTCCTTCTGCCTCAGCTTCCCGTAGCTGTGCCATTAGGTCCTGCTTCCTCCCTCTTTAAAAAAAAAAAAAATACGTGCATGAATGTTTTGCCGGAGTGTATGTATGTGCCGCACATGCATGCCCAGTGCCTACTGAGGTCAGATCCCCTAGAACTGAAAATACAGATGGCTGTGAGCGGCTGTGTAGGTGCTGCCAATCAATTCCCAGGCCTCTGCAAGGGCAGCCAGTGCTCTTAACCACTGAACCATCTCTCCAGCTCCATTTTCTTTCTTTCTTTCTTTTTTTTTTTTTTTTCCCCCGAAATAGGGCTTCTCTGTGTAGCTTTGCGCCTTTCCTGGATCTTGAGCTGTAGACCAGGCTGGCCTCGAACTCACAGAGATCCACCTGCCTCTGCCTCCCAAGTGCTGGGATTAAAGGCTTGTGCCATCACTGCCCGGCTTCCAGCTGCATTTTCTTCTTTTGTTTGAGACAAGATCTCACTGTGGAGGCTGGAGAGATGGCTCAGAGGTTAAGAGCACTGGCTGCTCTTTCAGAGGACCCAGGTTCAATTCTCAGTACCCACATGGCAGCTCACACTCACAACTGTCTATAATTCTAGTTCCAGGAGATCCATCACCCTCACACAGACATACATTTGGCAAAACACCAATGTACATAAAATAAGAATACATTATTTAAGAAAAAAATCTAATTGTGGAACCTAGGCCAGGGTAAAACTTGCAATCTCCCTGCTTCTACCTCTGGGTTATAGGCCTGTATGACCATATGAGGCCCAGTGTTACATACTTTGAGAAACTATTTATTGAATGTGTGTGGATGTGACCGTGGCAGTCAGAGGACAACTTGTGGGAGTCAGTTCCCTCCTTCCTTGTGGGTCCTGATATCTAACTTCAGTTATGAAGCCTGGTGACAGGAGCCATATCTGCTGAGCTATCTCGCCAGCCTGCCGAAGACTTTGTCCTTACGTACAACTGTAAGGGGTTTCACAGACCAGTGCTCTTCCTTGGACTTGCCCCATGTTCAGAACCGTAAAAGGAAAGCCAGAGTGGGTGTGGTGAGCATACTTGCAGTCCCAGCTACCTGGAAAGCTCAGGCAGGAATGCAAGTTTGGTTCCAGGCTTAAAATTGTGATGACATTCTGTCTCCAAAATTAAAGGGCTGGGGAAGAGGCTCAGTAGTTGAGCACTTGCTGAGTATGTTCAGGGTCTGGGTTAAACCCCCAGTTACCACCAAAAAACAAAATATGGTTTTAAAAATGACCTGCTTTTGTTATTGTGACTCTTTAGCCATATTTCCAGCAGAAGGAGGTTGAAACACTAGCTCAAACCGAGATCTGAGTCTTGGCTCTACCTCGTGAACACTTACAGGAACCTAATCTTTCTGAATCTTAGTTTCCTGCTCAGTAGAATTGAGATTAGAATTACTATGCAAATTAATGAGCTGATGCGTGGAAACCTCTTGGCACAGTCCTGGGATACCGAACAGCCTTTGCCGGTGGTGATCGACAGCTAGGCTTTTTAAATCTAATTTCTGTGGTGCTGGGGATCAAATCTGGGAACTTTGTATGTACTAGGCAAGCAGTCTACTAACTGAATGACATTCCCTCTTTATTTAGTTTTTATTTTTCTATTTATTATTTTGGAAACAGGGTCACACTGAGGCTATTGCTTGCCTGGAACTCCCAATGTAGATCAAGCTGCCCTTAGATTCAGATCTACCTGCCTCTGTCTCCTGAAGGCTGAGATTAAGTGTGTCACCACCACTATTTTTAATTTTTTTTTTTATATGGTCTGGCTATGTAGTCCAGACTAGCCTCTAGCTCACAGCTGTGGTTCTGTCTTAGCTTCCTGAGCTGGGTTGTTAGCAGAGCCACCGTGGCTGTGCTTAGAAACAGAAGGGGCTGTGGGCTTAGCATTGGGGAGGTAGAGGCAGGCGCATAGGGGGTCAGGGCCAGTTTTCTTTATTCTTTTTGGTTTTTTTTTTTTTTTTTTTTCGTTTTTCGAGACAGGGTTTTTCTCTGTGTAGACTCAGAGATCAGCTGAGGCCTCCTGAGTGCTGAGATTAAAGGTGTATGCTGCCCCCATATCACCAAGGCAAGTTTGAGGACAATCTGGGTTACATGAGACCCTGTCCCAAAACAAAGAAATAGAGAGAGAGGGCAGGGTGGTTTATAAATCTGAGTGTGGCTGATAGATTCTGAGTATGTATGAACACCAAAGTTTCAGAGGCCTGGCTGGGGGTGGGGATGGGTAAGGGAAATACAGGCTCTCACGGGAGCAGGGTCAACATGCTGCTCTGGGATGACCAGCCCCTGCAGGCTCTGGAGACCCTCCTGCTCCTTCAGACTGTATCTAAGAGACTACAGGACCATGCAAAGGCCGTCAGCGCTTCCTGCCAGCTCACCCAGCAACTCTTGAGCCTCGGCTGTCCCAGCTATGCCCAGGTGAGTGTTGGCTTGTTGAGTCTGGTGCTTGGGGGGCAAGTGGCTTTAAAGGCTCGTCTTGCCTTGAGAAGATGGGGTAGTAAAGAGGCAGCTTTCTGCCCCACATTTGACTGTAGCGCAATAGAACATGGGAACTGGGGACTTCTTTCCTGCCTATTACAAGAACTGTCACTCACAGGTCTGCAGATCTGTCCCATTTCCCACCCATTTCTCTTGATTTAGTTGATGCTTTATTACTTGTGTGCATCTGTCATACTTCTTAATTGGCTTTCAGTTTTTCCACACACCCCAATGCCTCCTGTTTTTTTTGAGACAAGGTTTCTCTGTGTAGCTCGGGCTGTCCTGGAATGCACTGTGTAGACCAGGCCTGCCTTTGCTAAGATCAAAGGGGCACACTGCCGGCCCCCTCCTCCCTGTCCCTACTCCCTTTTATTTTTCTTGACAGTGCTGGTGGTTGAACCCAGGGCCTCAGGCACACTAGATAAGTGCTTTGCTACTATGCTGAAACCCAGTTTTTCCTTTTAATCTCATCTTTGGTTTCTGCCAATTGGCACAGATCTGATCATCTGTGTCCCTCCTAAAAGACTCTCATGACTTCTCATAACTCAAATGATGCTATCCTGACTTTATAACACACTTTCCTAAAAGTCGCGAATGTTCTGCATGTATACCCGCATGCCAGAAGAGGGCATCAGATCCTATTATAGATGGTTGTGAGCTGCCATGAGGTTTCTGGGAATTGAACTCAGGACCTCTGGAAGAGCAGCCTGTGCTCTTAACCTCTGAACCATCTCTCCAGTCCCCTTTTTTTCCCTGTTTTTTTTTTTGTTTGTTTGTTTGTTTGTTTGTTTTTCCAGACAAGGTTTCTCTGTTACAGCCCTGGCTGTCCTGGAACTTACCCTGTAAACCAGGCTGACCTCAAACTCAGAGATCCGCCTGCCTCTGCCTCCCCAGTGCTGGGATGAAAGGTGTGCGCCACCACCGGCCGGCTCTTTTTTTTTTCATTCTTAAAGGCGGAGATTTGGACTGCAGACCTGCAGGGGCACCTCAAGCTTATGTGACTTTTCTCTGAGTTTTTGTTTTTCTCAGGTGATCGAGGGTCTTTCTCTATTGCTCTTTACGCAGCTGTGTGTGTGTGTGTGTGTGTGTGTGTGTGTGTGTGTGTGAGTGAGTGAGAGAGAGAGAGAGAGAGAGAGAGAGAGAGAGAGAGAGACTGAAAGTGTTCTAAGGATCAAATGAAGAGCTTTATGTAGATTGTGATGTTTGAGATAATACAATATTCAATCCCTTGCTTGCAAATGCTTCACTCCATTTTAATCTGAAGAGTCTGACCAGCATGAGGCTGGCATCCTCTGTCTGATTCTTTAGTTATACCTGGAAGAGGCAGAATCAAGCCTGAAGAGTCTGGACCAGACTACTGACACATACCAGCTCCTTTCCCTGACCTGTGCTCTGCTTCGAAGTCAACTCTGCTGGGCCTACCAGAAGGTAATTTCCACTGCCCACCTTATTTACAGACAGGAACCCAGTTGAACCCAGAGCTTGCCTATATAACTAGTCTAGTGAGCCAGCTTGCTCTAGGGATCCGCTGCCTTTGCCTTTCAGGTGCTAGAATTACTAAGGTGGTTGTGGCCATCTAGTAGTTGCATGGCTTCTGGCAATCTGAGCTTTGGTCTTCAAGCTTGATGTTTCCATAGCAGTCTTTATCCATGAGCCAACTCCCAGCCCCCCCCCCCCTTTTTTTTTTGGTTTATTGAGACAGGCTTTCTCCATGTAGTTTTGGTGCCTGTTCTGGATCTCGCTCTGTAGACCAGGCTGGCCTTGACCTTACAGAGATCTGCCTGGCTCTGCCTCCTGAGTGCTGGGATTAAAGATGCCACCACCGCCCGGCTCCCAGCCCCCTTTTTTGTTCTTTTGTTTTGTGGTGCTCTGGGTTGACAGGCCTTCTGCATGCTGTACTGGTGCTCTGCACTGACCTACATCCTACTTCCCTTCCCACTCTCCTAATTCCCGAATGCTCTGGACCTCAGGAAACTTTTAGGATTTTCATGTTATTTGGCCTCTGAAATTTTCCTGCAGCTAGGCAGAATGTTCAGGACCCTGAAAGCAGTCAAAACTGCCTCACCTGGTAGTAGAGATTAATTTCTTTCTCTGCCAGTTTCTGCAGTAGAAAAATACATTAAGGGATTTAGAAACTGAGGAGGACAGCCTGATATGGTAATCACCCCTGTAGTCCCAACCCTCAAAGGCTGCGGCTGGGGACTAGAATTTGAAGTCAGCCTGGCCTGCATAACAAGACTTCCTCAAAGGGGAAGAGGAAACAGTGGTGTGAGTGTGAAGAAGCACTGGAGCTCTGATCAGAAAATCTAGTGGGTTCCAAAACATCCCAGCTTTGCTCCAAATTAGCTGTGTCTTGATCATCTCTTGTTCTGATCAAACTCTGGTTTTTCTAGTTTTTTTTCTTTTATGTTTTTTTGGCGGGGGGGGGGGGGGGGGGGGGGGGGGCGCGTTGTTGCTTTTTAGTTGTTTTGTTGTTGTTTTTGAGACAGGGTCTCTGTGTGTGTAGCCCTGGCTGTCTTAGAACTAGCTCTATAGACCAGGCTGGACTCAAACTCAAAGATTTTTCTGCCTCTGCCTCCCAAGTGCTGGGATTAAAGGCGTGCACCTATGCCCGGCTATGTGTGACTCTTCTCCTCTGGCTTTTTGTCTCTCCCAGGTGACTGAGGGTGTTTCTCTACTGCTTTCTGTCCTTCGCGATCCTGCCCTTCAGAAGTCATCCAAGGCTTGGTACTTGCTCCGTGTTCAGGCCCTGCAAATCCTGGCTTTCTACCTTGGCCTCTCATCGAACATTCTCTCAAGTGTCCTGCGTGAGCAGCTCTGGGATCAAGGTGAGAGAGGGAGCTGTTGGCTCTCTTGGATGGTGGTCCTGGTTTGTCCGCTGTCTGTTCCTCGCAGCCATCTGCCCATGCTGTCCAGCATGTGAAACAGCCTATCTGGAACCCACCAATGCCTGTGGTAGCAAATAGGTTTCACTTCACCTGCTGCGTCTAATCACTTAATCAGTAGCTGCTTGGAATATTAAATTAAAAGGAACTCTCAGACCCCCAAGGGACCTTAGAGGGAAAGAGTTCTGTGATTGATTAGCTCTGTCTGCCTAAGGTTCAGAAGGAAAAGAGTGCCTTATGTTTGTTTACTTTTTTCCCCCTTTGGTTTGTTACACAGGCAGGGTTCTCTGTGTGACAGTTCTGTTGATTTGTAGACTAGGATAGCCTCAAACTCACAGAGATCCTCCTTCCTGTGGCTCCCAAGCACTGGTATTAAAGGTGTGCGCCACCAGTGCCCGGCCGTGTTTGCTCTCTTAGTTGAAGGTATTAGGCATGCTGCTGCAATCGTCTTTTTCCACTTCGCTCACCCCAGGCTGGCAGACCCCTGAGACAGCACTCATAGATGCCCACAAGCTCCTCCGAAGCATCATCATCCTGCTTATGGGTGGTGATGTGCTCTCAATTCAGAAAGCAGCTTTGGAGTCACCCTTTCTGGACTATGGTGAGTGAAGAGAAGAGCAGGGCCCTGTGGGATTGGACGCACTAGATATGATGGGCTGGGTGTTCTGTCTCCAGAGCAGCTGTCCATCTGTGGCCTGTACTGAAGTCTTGTCTCTCCTTCACTACAGGTGAAAATCTGGTGCAGAAGTGGCAGGTTCTCACAGAGGTGCTGAGCTGCTCGGAGAAGCTGGTGGGCCGCCTGGGCCGTCTGGGGAGTGTGAGTGAAGCCAAGGCCTTTTGCTTGGAGGCCCTGAAACTTACAACCAAGCTGCAGATACCTCACCAGTAAGTGAAGAGGATTCTAGCTCCTGCCATGTGCTCTTGAGTGTAGATCCCCAGTGACTGCAGAAGTTCCACGTTACATCTAGAGAGATTGGTGGGAGAAGGCATCCATGGCCAATCCAGATTAGAAGCTGATAGCCTGACAAGTCTGTATAGGACAACTCATATACTGCCTTTCCTAAGCGTCTATGCCCGTGGGAGTTTGGCGAGGAAAGCAGTTGGGAAATGTACCTGAAGGTGCTTCGGGATGAGGCTGTACAGAGGCCCCCAGAGAGGCTGTGAATGAGTGTGAGGACTCGGGCAAAGATGGCAGGGCTGGGCCTGGGAAAGCACGAGGAGAGTCTTCAGCAAACAGCCTTATGTGAACTGGTTCTCTCTCACAAGGTGTGCCCTGTTCCTTGTACTGAAGGGTGAGCTGGAACTGGCCCGAGGTGACATTGACCTGTGTCAGTCGGACCTTCAGCAGGTTCTGTTCCTGCTTGAGTCTTCCACAGGTGAGCTCGGTGGGGAGAACCCATATTACAACATGGTGTATATATAAAGGTTTGGCTGCATTCTGAATCCGACAGGTATCTGGTACTAAGAACATTAGTGTACCTCCTCCAGAGAGAATGCACAGGCCCAACTCTTCCCGGCTGGTTTTCAGTGCTGCTGAATGCCTTTGGCTTTTTTTTTTAATCTATCTATCTGTCTGTCTATCTGTCTATTTTGAAAGAGGGTCTTACTGTGTTGTTCTGAACTCACTGTGTAAATCAGGTGAGTCAGGCTGGCTTTAAATTCAAGAAGGTACACCTACCTGCCTCTGTCTCCCCAGTACTAAGACTAAAGGTGTGTGCCAGTACACCCTGCTGCATTTTGGCTTTTCTTTTAAAGGGCTGGGTTGGTGGCACATGCCTTTAATTCCACCACTCTGGAGCTCTATGAATTCCAGACCAGCCAAGTCCTGTAATGTGACCCTGTCTCAAAAAAACAACCAAACAAAGTAATTATTTTAGGGCTGACAAGATGGCTCAGTGGATAAAGATGTTTTCCATCAAGCCTGACAGTTTGAATTCAATCCTTGGGACCCACATAGTGAGACGATAAATGATTCCTAAAAGTTATCCTCAGACTTGCACACGCGTGTGCGTCATGCTCCTGTCCACACACACACTAACTTAAATAACAACTATTTGGGGTCTGGAAATTAAAGGGGTGTGCCATGATCCCCAGCTTGTCCCAAATATTTTTACCTCTGTTATCTCATGTGCACCTCCCCAAACCCAGATGAGAACCTAGAACTTGAGCTACAGGAGTCGGGTGTAGAGTGGACTGTTGATCCCTTGTTGAAGAAAAGGAAATACTAGGATTTTTTTCTGTAAAAGAATTTCCCTGCCGGGCGGTTGTGGCACACCTGTATTCCCAGCGCTTGGAAAGCAGAGAGAGGCAGGTGGATCTCTGTGAGTTCGAGGCCAGCCTGGTCTACAGAATGAGTTCTAGGACAGCCAGGGCTGTTACACAGAGAAACCCTGCCTTGAGAAATAAACAAACAAAAAAATTCCCTAATTTGTGTGTGTGTGTTACACAGACATTCTGAGTAATTCCTAAGTAAATGGCATGTATAATGGGTTGAACCCCGTGGTAGAGTTCTTGAGACCATTTCTCAGTTTTGTAGTTTTTGATCTTCTCTCTCCCTAGAGTTTGGTGGGGTGACCCAGCACCCAGACTCTGTGAAGAAGGTCCACACGAAAAAAGCGAAGCAGCAGGCTCAAGTCCCCAGCTCCCCACAGCCACCAGAGGAGGAACCCTTCCTCAGGGGCCCTGCCCTGGAGCTGGTGGCCACCGTGCTCAAAGAACCTGGCCCTATTCAACCCTCTACAAACTCCTCCCCAGTCCTGAAAACCAAGCCCCCACCCAACCCTGGCTTCCTGTCCCACTCACCCACCTGTGACTGCATGCTGTGCGCCAGTCCCGTCCTCTCGGCCGTCTGTCTGCGCTGGGTGCTGGTCACTGCAGGAGCGAAGCTGGCCATGGGTCATAAAGCCCAGGGTCTGGATCTACTGCAGGCTGTGCTGAAGGGTTGCCCTGCAACCACCAAGCGCTTCACACAAAACCTTCAAGCGTCACTGAAACTCAGAACACCCCCCTCTTGTGTCCCAAGCCTCTTTGATGAGCTCATGGCTCAAGTGTACACACACTTGGCACTGCAGTGCCTGAACCAGACATCGGAAAAGAACTTGGGAAAGGTCCTGGCATCAGGGCTGAAGTTTGTGGCCACACGGATACAATACTTGGAGTTCTGGCAAGCCAACCTGCTCTTGGTTCAGGCCCTTGCAAAGCTGGCCAGCTTCAGCTGCTGTACTTCTCAGCTTTTTGCACGCACCTGGGGCTGGCAGCCACCATTAGTAAAAAGTCCCACAGTCTTAGAACCCTCTAAGATTCGGAGACAAAAATGCTCTGGACGAGGGCGTCGGCAGACAGCCTCTGCTCCCTCACCCCTCCATAATATCTCTCAGAAAGGTCTGGAAGAGGATGGGCCACCCTGTACTCCTAAGCCCCCAGGCCGGGCTAAGGCTGGCCCTCGTGTGCCTTTCACCATATTTGAAGAAGTCCATCCTACAAAAAGCAAACCTGAGGTCCCCTTGGCACCCCGTGTGCGGAGGAGGGTCCAGACACGCCTCAAGGTAAGTTGGGATTGTGGTTAAGTGGAAGACGGGTGTCCACAGAGCACGGTCCTTGAAGAGCACTGTCCTTGAAGAGCACTCCCCATAGCCAAGGGGAGTGTTGCTCTGTATGCGGATGTCCGTGCGTCTTCTTTCTCTCTGTGGTTCTGTCCCTTGCCCTCCTTCCTCTGTCTTCTGAGTTACCACAGAATCTGAGAGTGGCAAGTACAATGAGGGAGGTCGGTTCTGAAGTCCTCAGACCTCTCAGGGCCTCCGTAGTGCTCCCTGCTGTCAGGAGGACTGTCGAGAGTCTCTTGGCCTTATTCTCCCTCTCCCTCTGTCACAGGTGAACTTCAGTGATGACAGTGACCTGGAAGACCTTGTCTCAGCTGAAGCACAACTTGTAGAGCAACCGAAGAGAAGAGGGACTGCTTCCCGGGGCCGGGGCCAGAGTAGAAAGGACCCAAGCTCGAAGACAGATGCAGTAGTTGCCACAGGTGGTGCCCCTGGACACCCCAGTCTCGGTGGTAGGGGTCGTCGTGCCAAGAAGGCGGCATCAAGACACTGTGAAGGAGAGAGTCCCGAGACGGGCCTCTGTGCCCGGGCTCGCCTGGGACCCGAGGTCATGAGGACTATCCCTGAAGAGGAACTAGTGGACACCCAGCTGGAAATGAGCTTTGAAACTCTGAGGGGTTCCGACGGGGAAGACTCAGCGTCAGGTAGGACACAAGGATGAGACGCAGAGGCCTGTGTTCTGTAGTATGTGTCGGGTGTTCCTGGGATATTATTATCAAGAAATAATAGCACCAAGGCCCAGGAAGAGAGGCCCTTTGCTAGGGGAAATGTAGAAGAGGAAGGCAGGGCTAGGGCAGGAGGAGGGAGCATTATGAAGTCATGTTCTCTCCCTAGGTGAGAAGGCATCAGCTGCAGGCCCTGGCCTACCCATAGGAGAATGTGAGGTGCTGAGACGGGACTCCTGCAAGGCAGAACCGCCTGTCCTGTACCCTGACAAGGAGGCCGATGGTGACCCTAGTCCTTGGCTCCCGTCCCTCTCAGTCCCTGTACCCATTGGTGAGTATATTGACCACTGAGGTTGGGTTACCTGGGGAGGGCTGAGCCAGCAGGTGTCTTGGTATCACCTGTCCTTTTTGGGAGACAAACTTTTAAAAAACTTTTCTTGAGCTGGGCAGTGGTGGCGCACGCCTTTAATCCCAGCACTCGGGAGGCAGAGCCAGGCGGATCTCTGTGAGTTCGAGGCCAGCCTGGTCTCCAAAATGAGTTCCAGGAAAGGTGCAAAGCTACACAGAGAAACCCTGTCTCGAAAAACCAAAAAAAACAAAAAAACTTTTCTTGAGACATAGTCTATGTAGCCCAGGCTGGCTTCTAGGATTATAGGTATACACCATCATATTCAGCTTCGTGTGTATGAGAGAGAGAGAGAGAAAGAGAGAGAGTGAGAGAATGAGAATGTGTGTGTGTGTGTGTGTGTGTGTGTGTTCATTCATACACACAGGGTATACTGCATCATATGTGTGTGTTCATGTATGTGTGGGCATACTCGTGTCACTTGTGTGTTCACACATGTGTGTATTTGTGTGTGAGGGCCAGAGGTTGACGTCTGGTGTCTTCCTTAGTTGCTTTCTCCATCTGATTAGTTAACTGGCTGCAAGTCCCTGGGGTCCACTGGATTACAGGTGCATGCCGCTGTGCCTCGCTGGCTCTTTAAATGGTTGCTGAATATCCAAACACAGCCCGTCATACTTGCACGAGAGACACTTGTAACAAGCGAACCATCTCCCCAGCCTGTCTTTTCTTTTTCAGACAGAGTCTCTCCATGTAGACCTGGAATTTACTCAGTAGACCAGGTTGTCTTCACATTCACAGAGATCCGCTTGCCTTTGCCTCTCAAGTATTGGGATTAAAGGCTCAGTTGTTTTGTTTTTATTTAGTTTTATTTTTTTGAGACAAGGTTTCTTGTAGTCTATGCATTTTTTAAAAAGATTATGTATACAGTGTTCTGCCTGCATGTATCCCTGCATGCCAGAAGAGGGCACCAGATCTCATTACAGATGGTTGTGGGCCACCATGTGTTTGCTGGGAATTGAACTCAGGTCCTCTGGAAGAACAGTCAGTGCTCTTAACCTCTGAGCCATCTCTCCAGCCCTCCTGTGCATTTTTCTATGTAGCCAAGGATGACTCCTGCCTGATCCTCTTGTCTCTACGTACCAAATGCTAGGAATATAATCAATCATATACCAGCGTACCACCATCCAGGCTTTTTTTCCCCTCCCTCTCATTTTTGAGACAGGATGTCATTGTGGTTCCAGCTGGTCTAGAACTTGGGAATACTGAGCCTCAGTCTCTAAAGTTCTACAATTACAGGTTCAGCAGTTCATATCTTCCTAGTCAGTGGTTCTGGCTTCCTGGGTCTAGCAGTCTCTGAGCCTGGTTGAGTTCTGCATTTTGTGCAAGAACCTTAATCTCTCTGAGCTTTTGTCTCCTTCATTGTAAAATGTGGCTTTGGGAAGATGGGATGGAGTGACGCCTCCTGCACATTTCCTTCATAAGCAGTAGCTCCTCTTCTCTCTGGGAGGTGGGATAGGGACTCCTTAGAGGGTCCCATTAATTAAGAAATAGGAGCCAGGCAGTGGTGGCACATGCCTTTAATCCCAGCATTCGGGAGGCAGAGCCAGGCGGATCTCTGTGAGTTGGAGGCCAGCCTGGTCTACAGAGAGATCCAGGACAGGCACCAAAACTACACAGAGAAACCCTGTCTCGAAAAACCAAAAAAAAAAAAAAAGAAAGAAAGAAAGAAATAGGGGGTCCATCTTCAGCAATAATGTTGACTTTTTTCTAGATCTTCCTACCCTGGATTCCATCTCCGACTCACTGAGCATCGCTTTCCGAGGTGTCAGTCACTGCCCTCCAAGTGGGCTCTACGCCCACCTCTGCCGATTGTTGGCTTTGTGCCTGGGTCACCGGGATCCCTGTGCCACTGCATTCCTTGTTGCTGAGTCTGTCTCCATCACTTGTCGTCACCAGCTGCTCACCCATCTGCACCGACAGCTCAGGTAAGTGCCGGCGAGGGTATGCTGGGCAAACTGCCGGGTAAGGGGCCTGACTTGTTTGAAGAGGGACTCACTCCTGTGTGTTGCCTGCAGCAAGGCGCAGAAGCAGCAAGGATCACCTGGTCTGGCAGAGCATCTGCAGGGGCTGAACCTGAGGGAGAGGCCCGGAGATGTGCCCCTGGCCCGCATCCAGCGCCTCTTTTCCTTCAAGGCTTTGGGGTCTGGCTACTTCCCCCAGGCAGAGAAGGACAGTTTTCAGGAGTGCCTGGCTCTGATCCCCAGTGGTATGGTCTGCTTCTAGCTGGGTCTCCTGTTCTCTCACACATCTAGTTGAACTCAGTAGATAAGCTTAAGGAATGGTTAGTTACCTAGATTGGTGCTCCTTACGTCTTATCTTTTTATTCCTTCCCTCTGAGACAGGATCTTACTGTGTAACCCAGGACTCAAGCTCAAAATCCTCCTTCCTTAGCCTTCTGGGTGCTGAGGGTTTTTTTTGTTTTGTTTTGTTTTTTTTTTGAGACAGGTTTTCTCTGTGTAGCTTTGGTGCCTGTCCTGGAACTCACTCTGTAGACCAGACTGGCCTCAAACTCACAGAGTTCCAACTGCCTCTGCCTCCCAAGTGCTGGGATTAAAGACTTGGGCTACAACTGCCCAGCTGGGTGCTGAGATTTTTAGGCATGTACCACCACAGCTGTTTGACATGTCCTATAATTTGTATATTAACTTTTTTTTTTCTCACACCAGACATACTCTGAAATTCAGGTGTGTGTTGAGATGTCTGGAGTCTTTTGACATTAAAATGAAATGTACTAACATGGTATGTGCACTTCCTCTGAGTGCAGCCTTTGTTAATTTCTGTGAGGGATACAAAGAAGTACCAGCTGCCTGTTCCAGGAGCTGTAGGGGCAAGAGAGCTCACCTTGAACTCCATTAACCAGGGAAGACTTCTTGGGGTTGTCTTAAGGTACGCTGTAGAAGGCAGGGCTGCAAGTGCCTCCTGAAAGTCTGCTGATTCTGGGTGTGTCTTCTGTGCATGTTAGGGGTGACTGTCTGTGTGTTGGCCCTGGCCACCCTCCAGCCTGGAACCTTGGGCAACACTCTCTTATTGACCCGCCTGGAAAAAGACAACCCCCCAGTTACTGTGAAGATTCCCACTGCCCAAAACAAGGTAGGGTTCTAATACCAAGGACTAGATTTTGCCAAACATGGGCCTTGGTCCCTGAATTTTGTGCCTAAGGGATGGACAGGTGACAGTCACTTGGAAAGCAAATCTTATAAACTCTTCATCTCCCACAGTTCCCACTAAGCTCTGTTCTGAAAGAGTTTGATGCTATCCAGAAGGACCAGAAAGAAAACAGCAGCTGTACTGAGAAGCGAGCATGGTGGACGGGGAGGCTGGCACTAGATCAGAGGATGGAGGTGTGTGCTCCCAGGGTGGGGAGGCTCAGGCCTGCCACAGAAAAGCACAGGGGTTAGGGGCAGCATCTTTCTGAGTCAGGGTTCCTCTGTGTAGCCTTGTCTTCCTGGAACTTGCTCTGTAGACCAGGCTGGCCTTGAACTCAGAGATCCACATACCTCTTGCCTCCTGAGTGCTGGGATTAAAGGTGTGTGCCACCACCGCCCAGAAATGTCTTTACTTTTTGAGTGTCTCAGAAAATGAAAAGACCTTAAGGACTTTGTACGACTGACAGAAATGCCTCGTTTCCGAATTCCATTTCCTTCTAGGAACTCATCACCTCCCTAGAGGAGCATGTGCTTGGCTGCTGGCGGGGTCTGCTGCTGCCGTCCAGTGCAGACCCTGGCCCTGCCCAGGAGGCCTCCCGTTTACAAGAGTTGCTGCAGGAATGTGGTTGGGAATATCCTGACTCCACTCTTCTAAAAGTGAGTTCAGGAAATGGAAGGGGAAGGTGCGGCAATGGTTCTTTTCTACCAGCCAGTGGTGGAGTTGGGAATTGTGGCACCTACCCTACTAACCATTGTTCTCCTGTAGGTCATTCTTAGTGGTGCCAGAACCCTCACCAGCCAGGATGTTCAGGCCTTGGCATATGGGCTGTGCCCAGCCCAGCCAGAGCGTGCCCGAGTGCTCCTGAGTGAGGCAGTTGGACGGGTACAGAGCCAGGAGGCCCCTGCCAGTCAGCATCTTGTACTGGTGCTAGACAAGGTAAAGAGCTGTGGCAGTGAGCAGTCCAGAGGGCAGTGAGCACGAGCTCATCTCCAGCCCTTCAGACATCTGCATTTATGTGGCTGGGGAGAGTAACCTTGGAATGCTTTTTTCCTAGGACCTGCAGAAGCTGCCGTGGGAAAGCATGCCCAGCCTCCGAGCACGACCTGTCACCCGGCTGCCCTCCTTCTACTTCCTACTCAGTTATTCTATCACCAAAGAGGTATGGAAACAGGGCATAGGGCCTGGGAATGTTTGGAAATTGGGTAAAACCTATGGAAAGAAGGCTGGAGCCCTGGGAAGATGGGAGTGGCTGAACAATGGGTCGGTTATGGAATGGAGCTTTGAGTATGCTGGGGCTGGGCCTCCTGGGCAGACCAAGACCCTGATTGACAGTGCTTGCCCTCAGGCTGGGGCCTCGTCGGTGCTGAACCAAGGTGTGGATCCACGGAATACCTTCTATGTCCTAAACCCTCACAGTAACCTGTCAAGCACAGAGGAGAGATTTCGAGCCAGTTTTAGCAGGTCTGGAGACGAGGGCATAAAGCAGGGTGGGGAAGGGTAGAGATCCGATGCAGGGGCGGTATGTGTGCTCTTGCTCTGGAACCCATTGTTGCTTCTCATTTCTGCTGCTGTTCCCTTTTTCTCTTCGATACATGGCATCTGCCATGTACTGACTTCCGGCTTTTCCTTGCAGTGAGGCTGGCTGGAAAGGAGTGGTTGGGGAAGTGCCAAGCCTTGCGCAGGTGCAGGCCGCCCTGACAGAGCGTGACTTGTATATGTGAGTGTTTGGGGCCGGGAAACAGGGAGAGGGGCATCTGGAAGAGGGTATCACTGTGGGTTGATTTGACATTTTAGGGCCTCTGGAAACAGGTAGGGGCCTGGAAATGATGACTCAATGCTTATCTCGCTTCCTCTGCCTTAGCTATGCAGGGCATGGAGCTGGGGCCCGCTTCCTCGATGGGCAGGCTGTCCTGCGGCTGAGCTGCCGGGCAGTGGCCCTGCTGTTCGGCTGTAGCAGTGCAGCCCTCGCTGTGCATGGAAACCTGGAGGGGGCTGGTATCGTGCTCAAGTACATCATGGCTGGCTGGTGAGAATGAGACCTGCCCTGGGGCATTAAACTCTTGCCCCCATCCTAGAACTATTAGCCAAGGGAACTCCTCATTGCTTCAAGCCTCTTTACATGTCTGTCACTAATGTGTTTTCCGTGTTTCTGTTACAGAGCCCTTACTCTGTATTTCTTCATTTTCTTCCCAGCCCCTTGTTTGTAGGTAATCTCTGGGATGTGACTGACCGTGACATTGACCGTTACACAGAGGCTCTGCTGCAGGGCTGGCTAGGAGCAGGCCCAGGGGCCCCCCTTCTCTACTACGTCAGCCAGGCCCGCCAGGCTCCTCGACTCAAGTATCTTATTGGTGCTGCACCTGTAGCCTATGGCCTACCTGTCTCTCTACAAACACCCTGAAGCTGTCTTATCTATGGTAGAAGCTATGTGACTATCTACCTCCCAACTTAGTTTTAACTATTTATAGAATTTTTAAAGTGATTTTCCCTGGTGTTTTGTATGAAGTGTTTCCTTTTAATGTGACCTTAATAAAGATATACTAAGCCTCATTTTTGTGTAAGTTCAAGAGCATCTAAAGACCTGACAGCTCCTCCCCTCATTCTTGCTGTGTGGATATAAGCAGGTGGGAGGAGCTTGCAGGAGGCTTTGGGAAGAAAGGCAAAACCAAAGTTGGGTGTGGCTGGGCCTTGGGTGATAGAGCTGGACAGAAGGCCATCAAAATGCTCAAAGGGAAAGGCAGTGATAGAGTGCTGAGGGTGTTTCTAATGCCTCCATTGCCCTTGCCTCTTTCCTCAGTGATTTAGAAACCATTGTTCTTCCCGCTAAGGCTGCTACACTTAGCCCAGAAGCTATGGGCTTTTGTACTTAGACGGCTTCTGTCTCAACTAAATTGATGTTTTGGGGAAGCATATATCTTACATTTATATACCAATCATGTCCAACACACAGTAACATAATTATGCTGTCGCTAGACAGATGCTCAGCAGTTGAGAGCACTGGGCTGTTCTTCCAGAGGACCTAGGTTCAGTTCCCAGCTTCCAGATGGAGGCTGGGAACCAAGTGTAACTAACTACAGCTCCAAGGGACCCCAGCGCCCTTGACCCTGCACTTGCACACACACACACACACACACACACACACACACACTGATGCTGCACTTGTTGGTTGGCAGTGGTGACTCCAGTATTTTTCCACCTCGTTTGCCCGTTAAAGCACCGCTGTCACCAGCACATTAGTGGTTCTGTCGGAGCACCGGTTCCCTCCCGGTCTGTCACCAGGGTTGTCCCATCAACGTGCGGTAGCGTATACAGCTTTACAGTCTTGTGGTTGCGTCTGAGGACTCTGAGTTTCCAGTTCCTTGAAGGCCGAAGCCCTGCCATCCTGCCAGCTCTCTAGACTCCGTGAAAAGGCGCTGTTACCGTCTCTAAATCAAGCTTGGGAGCCTCATCTCCGCGCAGAGGCACACGGTCATAGAGACGACTGGCGCAGAGCGTATCCCCCGGCGGCACCACAGAGACAACGCAGAGGCTGCCTAGAGAGCCTCTCGCCTCGCCGGCTTCCTCTTCGGTAGTCCTCCTTCCCAACATGGCGCAGTCGATTAACATCACGGAGCTGAATCTGCCCCAACTGGAAATGCTCAAGAACCAGCTGGACCAGGTGAGGACGGGCCCGGCGCCTTCCTCGCGCTGCAGGTCCTCCGGCCGCCTGGAGCCCCCGCGCCCCCGCGCCTTCCCGTTCCCAGGGAAACCCCTATCCGGTCCCGGGTCCCGCCCCCTCTGGCCGTGCCCCGCTCGCCCCCGGGCTCCCAAGCTGACCCTTTTACCCCGGCTCCTGTAGGAAGTGGAGTTTTTGTCCACGTCGATTGCTCAGCTCAAGGTGGTGCAGACCAAGTATGTGGAAGCCAAGGACTGTCTGAACGTGCTGAACAAGAGCAACGAGGGTATGGGCTAGGCGGGTGAGGGCGCCCGGGGACCCTCGCCGGCCCGCTTCCCGTAGAGAAAACGGTCCGTTAGGTCGTGTGTATAGCAGCCACACGAGCCCCCGCATGTTGCCTACGGGAAGCTGAAATGCTCCTGTCCCCTCTCGCTGTTCTTTTCCCTGTCTGTGGATACTGAGCCTGTTGGAGCTCCCTCCCCTTAACGTCCTCACGTGGGAGCGGCCAGCCGGCCCCAGCTGTCTGTCTTCATTACTTTCACAGGAAAAGAATTACTGGTCCCACTGACGAGTTCTGTATCCTTTCCACAGGAAATGCTATCTTACCTTCTTCCTCAGTCTTTTCCAAAAGCGGGGAGAGTTTTGATAACAGTCACCCAGTGATTTTAAGAACAGTCATGGCTGGGCGTGGTGGCGCACACCTTTAATCCCAGCACTTGGGAGGCAGAGGCAGGAGGATCTCTGTGAGTTGGAGGACAGCCAGGGCTGTTAGACAGAGAAACCCTGGCTCGAAAAGCAAAGACTCATACACACTTCATAGTTCTCTCGTCTAACCTAGGAGCCAGTGTCTATCCAATACTTTGTTCAGTGAAGAATTGAAGTGTCGTGTTTCTCTTTGCTGTGTGGGGATGTTCATCTAATATGGGGATAAAGCTGGCAGTCGGCTAAAGCAGTAGGAAAGTGGTGGGCTGTTGAAATTGGGAATGTGGCTCTGCTTCAGCTTCATTGTGGCTCATTCCAAAACTACTTTCAGTAAGACACCCAGATTGTTTCCGTTTGTTGAAAGCGATCCACAAAATGACAGGCTGAAAGAGAAACCTAAGAACAGCACTGTGTGAAGAAAAATTAAAATAATAATAACAGTGTGGGGCTGGAGAGATGACTCAGTGGTTAAGAGCACTGGCTGCCCTTCCAGAGGACCTGGGTTCAATTCCCAGCACCCACATGGCAGCTCACAACTGTAACACCAGTGCACCAAAACATTTAAATAAGTTATTTGGTGGGTAAAAATGTGCAGAAACACATACAACCTGACATCAATCCAATACCCACCATGTAGAAGGAGAAACTTAACTCCCAACCTCCACACACGTTCCATGGCATACACATTTGTGAAAATATGTACACAAAGCCAGTAAATGCAATATAAGAGTTATTAATAATCCAAGACTAGAGAGATGGCTTAGTAGTTAAGAGTACTTCATGATCTTATAGAGAACCTGGTTTGGTTGCTAGTGCCCGCATAGTGTAGGTAGCTCCGATTCCAGGGACCCAGCAACCTCTTCTGACTTCCCAGGCATGCACATAATGCACATACATACAATCTAAAACAAAAAAAAAATTAAGAATTAGTAACCCATCAGGATTTATGTTGTGGTAAATGAAGCTGGCTTTCCACGTACACTGTTCTAGAACCTTGGGAAAGCATGGTTGCATCTCCTCTGGTCTTCCTAGAAAGACTAATGGGGAAATGCAGGAACTCCTTCGAGGATGAGAGGTGGGACCAGGACAAGAAAGTGTTCCCGCTCCTGTTGTCTTCACAGGGAACCAACTCCGTTGCTTGGTCTAAAAAGCTGCAGCTTTTTAGAAAAGGAGACTTTGGGGTTATGGCTCTGGCTGACAAAACTGTGTCTCTTGCTGGGCTGGTTTTCCCTTAATCCTTGCTTCTCAGATGTATGTCCCTGGGAAGCTACATGATGTGGAACATGTGCTCATCGATGTGGGAACTGGCTACTATGTGGAGAAGGTGAGTTGGTAGGAAGTACGTGGATGTCCTCTGAGAAGGTAGTGTTGGGCAGGGCCTCTTTTTATTCTTTTATTTACCTCTGATCTTGTAGACAGCGGAGGATGCCAAGGACTTCTTCAAAAGGAAGATAGACTTCCTCACCAAGCAGATGGAGAAAATCCAGCCAGCTCTGCAGGAGAAGCATGCCATGAAACAAGGTGAGCTGCCCAGAGCACCTCCTTTGTAAATTTGTATCTATTATTGTCTGTCTATCTGTCTGTCTGGGAGGTGTGTGGGGCTGGGAGGCACATGAGTGCCATGATGCGTGTGTGGAGGTTGGAGGGAATTTTTCAGGACTCTGTTTTCTCCTTCCATCCTGGGTTCTAGAGACTAAACGCTTGTCGTCAGGCTGTGTGGCAAATGCTTTTAGCCCCCAGGGGACTTCCAGACCCTTCCTACCTCCATGGTAAAGAACATTCATCACATGAGGCATGATGGGAAATACCTGTAATCCCAGGACTGAGGAGGTTAAGGCAAGAGGATACAGTGCCTCCATCACTTAGGAGGAGAGGCAGGGGGATCATCCTTACTACATAGCCAGTTCAAGGTCAACGTGGACTTCATGAGACTCTTGTTCCTACCCCCGAAAAAGACATAATTGGTTTAGGTTTGGGGATATATAGCTCAGTAATAAGATTGCCTAGCATGCTGGGTGGTGGCGGCGGCGCACACCTTTAATCCCAGCACTCGGGAGGCAGAGGCAGGTGGGTATCAGTGAGTTTGAGGCCAGCCTGGTCTACAAAGTGAGTTCCAGGACAGCTTGGACTGTTACACAGAGAAACCCTGTCTCAAAAAACATAGCATGTAAATGTCATGGGTTAAATGCTTGGCACCACAAAATATAAAAAAAAATAATAATAACATTTACTTATATGTTTGCATATGTGTATATAAATTATAAATAAAACATGTGTGCACACATACATAGTTCATGTACAGTGCTATCCATTTAAATAGGTAGTCCAGCTGTATGTGATGGAGCACACCTGTAGAGTATTCCAGGTTAGAGCCAGGCTAAGTTACATACCGAGATCCTGTCAGAAAACACAGGGGTTGGAGAAATGGCTCAGTGGTGAGGAGCACTTAATGTGCTTGCCGAAGGCACAGGTTCAGTGCCGAGCACCCGTGACAGCTCACAACTACCTGTAACTCCAGTTCCAGATGTGACCTCTGTAGCTCCTGCATGAACATGGTGCACATACATGTGCTCAGGTGCACATGAGCGTGTGTGGACACACACACATATACAAAGTATTAAAACAACAAGGGCCGGGGGTATGGTTCAGTGGGCTTGCTGCGTAAGGACTTGAGTTCAAATCTCCAGCACCCACATAAAAGGTGGGCATGACCCAAGTGCTTGTAACCCCAGTGCTAGCAGGACAGAGACAGATAGATCCTGGGAGTTCACTGGCTGGCCAGCCTAGTGGAATGGATGAGTTTCGGGTTCAGTGAGAGACCCTGTCTCAACAGAGAGAATAATAGAACAAGATAAGACGCCATGGTTTCCTTTGGTCTCACACATACACCTAGTGGTGGACACACAACACACACTCGAGCTCGAAGGAAGGACATGGATTGTAACATAAACTTGGAGGTGACCATGTCTCTGCTGGATGTAGCAGTGCACACCTTTGATCTCAGCACTCGGGAGGCAGAGGCAGGCAGATCTCGTGAGTTCAAGATTAGCCAGCGCTATGTAAAGAGACCTTGTCTCAACAACAACAGCAGCAAAAAAGATGTTTCTGTTTCTCTTTGGTGTCTTGATGTGTTATCCTGGGGTTTTGAGTGATTAAGGAAAAATCTGTTAATGATTTGGGATAAAATGCCTAT